GACAAAACCTTGTCGAAACGTTGTACATTTGTTGTTATGTTAAACTTATATTAAAGTTATTTTTCATTACCCATTCAAGCCATCTCTAAGTATTATTAAGATTGGTTTGTTTTGTTTGGTTGATTGGTTTGTTATGAATTTCGCGCAAAGCTACATGAGGGCTATCTGCGCTAGCCGTTCCTAATTTAGCAGTGAAAGACTAGACGGAAGGCAGCTAGTCATAACCACTCCCCGCCAACTCTTGGGCTACTCTTTTACCAACGAATAGTGGGATTGACCGTCAAAGTATAACGCCCCCACGGTTGTAAGGACGAGCATGTTCGGTGGGAAGGGGGATTCGAACCCGCGACCCTCAGATTGCGAGTCGAGTCCCCTAACTACCGGGCCCCTTAAGATTGGTGCCAACTTGTAAAGAATTGTAACCGCATATCAAGCATCTCAGAACGATTTATTAATTACTTGTTTGTAAGATCACAACGTAATCCAACTGATTGGTTGGATGTGATCTAGTGATTAGGGTACCTCAAATATGATTTCAAGAATTCCTCGTTCGTGTTCGTTGTTGTTGCTTCTAATACTGGTCTGCCTCTTTAACAAACAATAAATGACGCTTGGGGCTTACTAACACATATATAACTAACATATTGATTTATATACAACACACAAGTTAGCACTTTTTAAAAGTAATTCTTTTATGAACAGCTATCTAAAACCTGATAACTTTTAAATACATTAACTGGCCTTTTTTTTATCTCCACCTAATATCGAGTTGAGCTATTTTCGACAACAATAGCCTTGACTAGGAGTAGCATACACCTCACAAGATACAAAAGGTGTTTTATTCGATTGCAAAAGTCAAGAAATATAGACTGTATTTAGTACATGAATATTGGCAGATGGTTTCGGTAGCATGTGTGACGTCTAAGTTCGTCCTATTGTTGCTCAATCGAAATAATATGCAATAACTGTGCGGAAACAGAAAGATGAATGAAATCACTATAATACTCAGCAAACAAACTTTGTACACTATACGGTTAAATAATCGTCTTAAACAATGTTCATGTTACTTTAAGTGCTGTTTAGTTTCTGATAATAGATAAAAGGATCTAAACCATGAACGAAAATTATCTCCCCACTATTACACCAACTACAGCAGTTTGAACAGTTTGCATCTGAGATCGGTGTCATTTGGATTGGTTGTTTGTCTGCGGTAGGACAGTTTTCAGTAATCAGTCAATTAGACCACAAGCTGACGCCTGTTGCACTTACAAACTTGTTCACTCATCTTTTCCCTCAGTATATCAGTAGCAGTTGGCGACCATAACTGTTCCTAGTGCGAAACGTATTCGCTTTCCGCTACCTCTGTCGGTAGCTTCTGACCACTGATTCTGTTGGAAAGCCGATCAAGGAAAATATTTTTAATTATAAAAGCCCATGAGTGAAAGCAGAGAAAAATATGCTATAATGTGTCATCACACTGCATGTGCCAAATCCAATGACGACTATCTATATCATCTATTATCATAAATAATAACTGATATGGTGTGAACCATATTAAGAAAGTGAATTGTAATTATTATAATTTATATCAAAGTAATATATTTTAACACTGATTATTTATTTATTATTAATCTTATTAGATTCTTTGAATTAAGTTTACTATCATCCGAAAGAACTGACGAACCAAGAAGCTAGTCTTCTAGTTCCCAGAGCAGGTCAGTCAGCCAGAATGTCAATGAGAGAAAACTTCTTCAGTAATTATAAAAACAACGACTGATTAGGCTGGCGAGTATACTACAGATATAGTGGTGGTCTAGGGTCTATATTTATCGTCAGTTTTCATGAGCAACAGCTGTGAACCAGATTTAGTATAATTCCAATTACACACCACCTAGAACAATTGCCCTTGAATGTCGAGGGGAGGGGTAGATTTTTACTTTCATCCATAACCTTTGAGAAAAATAATCACTGATTACATAATACCATTTGCAGGACTCATCTGACACATTAAAGAAGCAGTCTGTTTCTGGATAGACAAATGAAAGGCGTTTTCTCGAACTATATTCGCGGTGTCCTAATAAAGGAACCGATTAAAGTAGAAGATTAAGCTTGTTAGTTGACTATAAAACCATAAATTAAAATGGGACAGATGATGTCCCAATGGGAGGAAAATATACAGCACCGTTTACGTAGAAAAATTTAATAACTGTAGATAACAACCTTTCCTATTTTCTAAGAATTTGTCCTTAAAACTCTTCACCATTTAAATAACTCAAAAATCTTTTTAATGAATGAATGTTCGGATAAGATAAACGAAGTAAAATGGTTTACGATATTATTCACAGTAGAATAGTCTTTAAAAGCTACTTTCAACTGACATAGCATACAATTGTGAACTATAACAATGAGTTATTCTTCAAGAAAAAGTAACAAGTTCAGGACCCCTCTTTCGCGTTCCTCAATTTCCTTGATATGATCTAAATTAAATCGTCTACTAATACCCAATTAAAAGCTACCACAAGCCCTCATAAGTTAAAACAAGAAAGCGTAATAAAAACGATAGTTTGGATTTGTGCTTTTAACAGTTTATAACCGCTTTTTACAAGAAACAAAAATCATTAAGAAAAATAATTTTTGAAATTTGACGTACAGTAATTTCTGATAGGAAAACGTACTCTGCAGTCGTTCAGGGGTAAATTAATGACGTCAACTTACCGATGTGGAACTTCTCACTGCAAAGCGACGTGTTCACTTCTTTGATTTCGAACTGAGGAAGTTTTAAGTTATCGTACAGTTGAACAGGATTCTGAACTGACCATTTGAGGCTTAGTTCCTCCGTTGTCTTGGAAACTATAGACACAATAAAATAAACTAATGATTAAGCCTGTATTTAATGATTTCTTATTTTTTATTCCTGATCAAACACATCGAAGTGTTGCTAAATAAGAAATAAGATTAAAATTATTCCTACCTGAACATTCCTACAAAAACCAAAAACGTTTTCTACTGTACATTTATTAGGAGTAAATAGCACTTGAAGTCAGATTACACGCAAAGCATACAAAATTAGTCTAGCTAGGTTGGATTTAAAATGTATAAAATAGGGAAACGACTGCCTCTGCTGTCTACATTAAATGAAAGTGGATTTAAAATTCACAATACTCACATGATGCTAGCTCAATCGTACAAACTTGCGAGTCCAGTGGATAGCGATATAGGTCCATCATGCATGAGAAAGTCAGCTTCAGTCTAAGGTATATAAAAACAACAACAGACGTAAGAGAGCTTAGTGCTAAAGTTATGATTATGTTACTTAGTTTTCAGTCTTCGCTATATTAACACGTGTAATCTAGCTGTAACAAAAGTAACTTAAGTTTCAAACACAAATATACTAAATCTAAACAGAAATAAACTAGCTAAAAGACAAATGTATTAAATGTAAACAGGAATAAACTAGCTGTAAACACAATTATATTAGATGTAAACATAAATAATCTCGCTGTAAATACAAATATAATAAATGTAAAATAGAAATAAACAAACTGTAAACCCCCATATACCAGAAGTAAACAGAAGTAAAATAGCTGTAAAAGAAATGAACTGGCTGTAAACACAAATATGCTAAATGTAAACAGAAATAATCTTGCTGTGAATACAATTATACTAGATGTAAACAGAAATAAACTAGCTGTAAACACAAATATATTAGATGTAAACAGAAATAAACTAGCTGTAAACGCAAATAAGGTAGATGTAAAAGCAGATATGCTCTTGACGAAGCTAGTGTTGCATAGTTTTGTCTCTTTATGTGAATTTCTATTTACGAATATTCTAAATATAAACAGATACATTGTATTAAACTAGTGGAAAAGCACATTATTTGAATGTGTAAATAAAAGTTGTTCTGTTAATATTAAGAAAGTGATATAGTGTTTACAGGTGAAGTAGGCCACAGAGGCCCGTATAAATACATAGCTGCAATTTATAAAAAAAAAACACTTTTGAAGATGGCCAGCGTGGCAATTTTTGATAACTCCCACGAATTAGAAAAACTAAAATCCGCGCCATACTCCCCCCCCCCATTTTTTATTTTTTATTATTCGAAACGATTGAGAGAATTGTTTTATATATTTGCTATGTTGTAATGCAGTGTATTCTTGGACCCAGAGTCTATTAATCGGTCTTTTCTTTCAAAAAGCACCACTTTGGTTGTATATTTAACTGAACCATATTTTAGAAATTGGTAGTTAGTTTCTACTGAAGATAAGCACGTTATGTCGCAATAAACATTTAATACATTCGTTCATAATACCATCTCGAAATAGATATTTCTAAAGAGGATGTATTTTCATCAACTCCAATGTCTAAGAACGTTGAAGCTACACATTATAACTCTTCAGCGCTGTTCATATGAAGTTTCTTCCGCTCGTATATAGCTTTAGATAAGTGGTACTGGAAAGTTTCTTCCTGTTGCTGGTCGTCAACTGAACACATGTTCTTGTAGCTCCAGGTTATCTTCAGCTCACCGGTCATCATCAGTATCTCGCCTTCAAGAAGTGAAGTTGCGAGAAACAGGCCAAATAAATAATATATTTGCTGAACTAAGAAAACAACACGGATGGAAGTATTCACTGCTTATTCGTGACTGGCTAGTCCAGTTTGACGCAACAATATGTTTAACACAGACACAAAGATATTTTTAAAGGTTTCCTCAGGGAGCAGTTCTTCGTGTCGAGTTTTGATTGGGAAAAAGCCTTTTTTGTTTTGTTGTTTTACCTTACCTACATACGTCATTTCGGTCAAATATCAAGAAATAAAGAAATTTTGGCAGTAATTTATGTTAAAGGTCTGGTTTTCTCAGCTTCTCTATGATGAAACTTAAAGAACAAATAAGGTATATGTAGATTGTATAAAAAAATTATCATTTCACGAAAATTTCTCTAACAAACGGCTAGCTCTACGGTTCACATCTTGATCTTTTTCTAGTTTATACACTAGAAACTTGACGAAAGTCCTTCAGAAACACAATAACCACCAACCAAATCATATGAAAACACTATGTTTCTTAAACAATCAAGATTTAAGTAGTTTTTGTCTACCACGGAAATCAGGCCCAAGATTTTAGCATTGTAATCCGTAAACTTACCGCTGACTCACAGGGGGGGGGGCTGCCCAAGTTCATTTAATAGCCAACATTTTTAAGCTATTTTCAAAAGTGTTATATAGTTATTATCGTGATATAAAAGTAAAATCATCTTTTATTGGTAAATCTTCGAGAATGCGGAACCATAAAAGTAGAGCCCTATCTTAACGTACGTTTTCATTGGTAGCTTCTGGCCATCGGTAAGAAACGCTATTGAACGACTAAAGTCATGTTTGTGGCTATAAAAATACAGGATAGTTTGTCTCTCGGGGCTCATTATTTTATCATATAGCTTTTAATTGTTTATTTCAGATTTTTAGTGCAAAGCTAAACAATGGCATATCTCCGTATAGCCATTCTTAGTTTTCATTAGACAGACAAGAGGGAAAGTAGTTAGTCAATAGCCCCCACACCCAACTCTTGGGCTGCTGTTATGTGACAGAAGAATGAGATTAGACAGCCATTCTTATGGCGTTTATGCGGCAACGAAACGCGAGCCTTAAGCCCTCAAATGGCCCGGCATGGCCAGGTGGTTAGGGCGCTCGACTCGCAAGCTGAGGGTCGCGGGTTTGAATCCCCGTCACACTAAACACGCTCGCCTTTTCAGACATGGGGGAGTTATAATGTGGCGGTTAGTCCCACTATTCTTTGGTAAAAGAGTAGCCCAAGAGTTGGCGGTGAGTGGTGATGACTAGCTGCCTTCCCTCTAGTCTTACACTGCTAAATTAGGGACGGCTAGCGCAGATAGCTCTCGTGTAGCTTTGCACGAAATTCAAAACAAACAAACAAACAAAGCCCTCAAATTAATAATCCAGCTCGAAAACCATAAGATACTTCCGACCCTGAAGGATAATATTGTAAAACATACAATACTATTTTTTTAAAAATATAACTTAACTATATCCACAGAATATGAAAGTTCATCGTTTCTACAGACGAAAGAATGTATTTCAGCAAGGATAAATCATGCACTAGTAAATACATTAGGATGGGCGTAGCCTAATGGTTAGCGTGCTCGAATTGTGAATCCAAGGATTTATTGTTCGTGTTCTGTTCCTGCAAAATGCTGCTCCGCACTTTCTGGCCGTGGGTGTGTTATAAGAGTGACGATAAAATCTCAATATTCTGTAAGCTAAGACTATCCAAGAGTTGACGGATGGTGCTGTTGACTAGTTGCCTTCCCTTTGGTCTATCAAAATTAGGAACTGCTGTTTATCTCAGATTTTCTTATACATATGTTAGCTAAATGAGCGGCTAGAGACAGCTTACAAGTGTCGTGTTCAGGAATCAAAAATTAAGTAATAATAAAAGATAGACTTTCTCATGCTGTTCTGTTTCATTCATTTTTTATAGGTATATATATATATAGAGAGAGAGAAATTCTAGTTATTTAGAAAATTAATTGAATATTTACGATATTTCACTATTTGAATATTGAGGATACGTCACTGCTTGAATATTGAAATATGTCCCTGCTTGAATATTGAAAATATGTCCCTGCTTGAATATTCAATATATGTCGCTGCTTGAATATTCAGGATGTGTCATTGTTTGAATAGCTAAGATATGTCACTGCTTAAATACTTAGGATATGTCACCGTTTGAACAGTTAAGATATGTCACTGCTTGAATACTTAGGATATGTCACTGCTTGAATATTCAGGATATATCACTGTTTGAACAGTTAAGATATGTCACTGCTTGAATATTGAAAATATGTCCCTGCTTGAATATTCAATATATGTCAGCTGCTTGAATATTCAGGATGTGTCATTGTTTGAATAGCTAAGATATGTCACTGCTTGAATATTCAGGATATGTCATTGTTTGAATAGCTAAGATATGTCACTGCTTAAATACTTAGGATATGTCACCGTTTGAACAGTTAAGATATGTCACTGCTTGAATATTTAGGATATGTCACTACTTAAATATTCAGTATATGTCACTGCTTGAATATTCAGGATATGTCATTGTTTGAATAGCTAAGATATGTCACTGCTTGAATACTTAGGATATGTCACTGCTTGAATATTCAGGATATATCACTGTTTGAACAGTTAAGATATGTCACTGCTTGAATATTTAGGATATGCCACTACTTAAATATTCAGTATATGTCACCGCTTGAATATTCAGGATATGTCACTGTTTGAACAGTTAAGATATGTCATTGCTTGAATATTTAGGATATGCCACTACTTAAATATTCAGTATATGTCTCTGATTGAATATTCAGGATACGTCACCGCTTGAATATTCAGGATATGTCACCGCTTGAATATTCAGGATATGTTACTGCTTGAATATTCAGGATATGTCACTGCTTGAATACTCAGTATAAGGATACTTTATTTATTGTAACCATGAGAATTGAAATATTGTTACCAATAGGCCCTGCTCTTACTTATTTCTAATTTTGTCAACAACAATTGATAAAAGCTAATATTTTGGGAACTATCCATTAGTTATCAGTGATCTATTTATATTCTTACCTACAACAAAGTCTCAAAAACATCATCTTAACAGGTTTTATATAGGCATAACATAAAAATGATTTAATCACGTACAATATTACGAATCAGTAATGCCATCTAATACAGTTTATTAATATAAAAACAAACTTTATTAAATTTTCGTGAACACTTGGCTATATCTTTCTGTTGAATCAGCAGAATTTTTTAAATCTTTTCGCTAGTTAACAAACTGTTTAAGTTTGACAATATATTTAAACTGCAATGCAGCACATGAAGTTAGGCATAGGCTCTCAAACAAGTACGAGGGCAAACCTATGGTAGGATGTGACTCCACCTGTCGTAAACTCTGTAGCTAATTTGGGACCGATTAAGAACAGGTGAGCTTGTTCGTTATCTTTATTATAGCTTACATATTTCTTTCCCAGAAAACTAAAAGAAAAACTTTAAATAACACATTGGGTGTTTACGATTCAGAAAATCACAAATGGAAAGAAGCTTCATATGCTTTAGTTACGTCTTTTTTATATACACAATTATAAAAAAAATGCAAAAGAAAAATTTAAGGAGGGATGAAAAAGAATATGGGAAGTAAGAAGCATTAGTTTTTGTTTTCTCTTTTTAGAAAGAAG